CACAGTGGCCCACAACATTGGTGGACTTTTTCCGAACCCACACAACGTTTGGTATTTTTAATGGCGTCTAAAGCGTCCCTAGTTACGCAGCACGTGCATACAGGATGTGAGACAAGTTAAACCAGCTGAGGTCTGCGAAAGACGTCTCCGCCACCTTATCTACAGCGTTATCTTCAGTGTCGAAAAGGAAAATAGGCTAAACCTGCATGGTGTCCGGGGCCCAGTGGCACGCTCCCAAATGTGTGAGATCAAAATCAATGGGAAGGGCAGCCGGAATGGACTGTCATGCAGATGCTTAGCATGCCGAGCACAACGCCATACCAGATGTTGAAGTTGCACTTTGTATTTCCTGCAAGAATGCCTGACCTGCCAGGGGCGCTTCATGGAATGGCTTGTTCCAGTTTCATTGTCCTACAGGCGGCAAAGCAGGGGTCCCCAGGAACCCTGACGACGGCGGCGTCCTCACCCATCATTCTCGCGAAACTGGCATTCAGTATTGCCGTCTTCGCGATCCAACAGACGCTTCCGCCGCAACTGTTATCCTAGGACGTCCTTCTGGTCGATTGGATTGCGCAACAACTTGAACGCATGGACTGCCCAGAGTTCGTCGAGGCTTGTCTTAACTTTGGCTACCTTCACACCTTCGCCCAACTGCCACGCTTCTAAGGCTTGTTGCAGTCCTCACTGCTACAATGACCTCAATGCAACCTGTTTATTTTGATTTACTTGACTGGATCATGCTTTGCTTTCCTTCTGTACGCCCTACACACAGACTGGCTGTTCGATTGCGTCTCAGTGGGAGCTGCAAGCGCTCGCACATGAGATCATATTTCCTCGTTTGGTATAGAGAGGGAAGAGAGACACACTGTCCTCTTGCCTGACACAGAACGCTCTCCACCAGCTGACAGCTAATTACGCGCGGATTATCGCGTTTGTGGATAGATTATTGGAGGGTCAGAGGTACCTTATGTATGCCCGCGGTTAAATCCCTCTGAGATGATTTTTGTTGTTGTTCATTCTTACGCTCAAAGTCAAGTCCTTATCTGCCGGACTGAGTATATTTATGCAACTTCCTTCTTCATCGATTTAAACGTATTGCTGTTATTCTTGTACCCCATTAATCCCTCTTTCCTTTGCCAGTCATATCCTTCATAATAATGACTTACAGGTGTATACGTGTCTGTTTACGTGGAGGACTGTCGGTGACGCAGGTTAATTAACATGCAAACGTATTTCAAGAACATTTACGGACCGTAGGACACGTCACCCGGTTCCTATTCGTCATCAACGCGGTTTTTACTGGACACATCTCTTTGCGAGAAAACGGTCCTCAAGTATAGCCTTATTTTTACCCGTCCTCCATTAACTCTTTGGAATATCAGTAGACTCCAAGAATTTCTGTAGACTGTGTTGTGTTGTGGGTGGCCATGGTAACGGGAGGATGCGAGCATACAGCCCCCACTTTTCTCTATTCGCCATCATAGTTTTCTCCAGAAAGTACAATGACCTGTGCTGCTATTCTGTCGCAGTGGCTTAATTTGCTGGCAAAATCGCTTGCAACTGCGATTTTCAGGCTCAGTTCTGGGTCAGAAGACAAGTATGGGGAGGTCTAGTGGTAGGAACAGTAAGTGGAAAATATGTTGGTAAAAGCTGACAGTTGGGCGAGTGTGCGTCTGCACCCAAGAGGGGCTGCACCCTAAGTATGAAACCGCGGTCTTTGCGTGATTCAGCGTTGATCGTGATTGGTAAAACGGTATTGGGGTAAGCAGGTACTGGTGCGTGTGC